GCCAGGAAGGCTTCTGTGCAGCCATACATTTTCTTTTTAGCATTCTGGGAAGAAAAGCCACGGAGTATAATCACCAGTGAGTCTATATAAGCCACAGTCAATAACACCTGCGTCCCCACACAATTTTCTGAGCAGTCATTTGCCAAATTAATTAATGCTCTTTTACTCATTTCCCAAGATGCTATTACTTTTTAAGATCTATAGACCTATAAAAATGCACTTATTCATCACGGTAAGCTGAATTTTCTCACCTTATAGCAACTGTCATTTATCAAGCAGATCCCTTCCAATAAACAAGACATTTTATATATTAATATATTTATTATTAGTCATATGGTCTCACATAAGCCTCAATAACTCAATGAAATATTTATTATCGTCCCCATCTTACAGAAAGGGAAAGTGAGGTATGGTAATGTTAAGGAAAGTATCCAAAGTTTCAAAGGTATTAATTTATGAAGCTAAAATTCCAACCCTGTCTTTTTGAATGCCTTCTTTTTTCCATCACGTTATGAGGGTATGTGCAACTTCCCAAAACAGGTTGGATTTACTATTTGGGGGTTATCAGTGCAGACCATATGAAGTAATGTTTCCTCCTCCTGGATGCTCTTCACTACCCATATTTTGCTGACAACGGTTTGAAAATCAGCACCAGAATGACATGCATAATCTGAAGTGTTACAAGTTTAATTTTCAGCACGGAATTTTAACATGAACTTTTAGAAACACCTTCAAGCATTAAAGAAATATCCTAATCAGAAGAATAAGTCAAGTTCTAAGAAGCCACATCTTTATTGCTAATCTGGAGGTTTCTCAAACACTTAATTTTCTCTTCTTCCTTCCTGCTGCTCTCATTAACACCTCCATAAGAAAGAGAAGAGGAAGGAAGGCTCAAATCAAATCACTACTTCTTAGAAGCTAAGACTTTTTCAGGTAAAAACTAGAATCACTTGCAGAAGTATTATCAGTAGATTTGAGCAATCCTTGGAACAATGTTACAGAGGAAAGAAGTTTAGGGGATCAATAGTTCTTCTTTCCAAATAAAAATAAAGCAAGGAAAATGCAGAGAAATAATCTAACTTGAGATAGGGCATGGGTAGTGTGGGAGGATTCTTAGTCATCTTGACAACTGTGGGCTGCAACAGTGAGGTTCTTTGATGAAGGCCAACCTTTTCTAATGTACAAAGGTCCATGGGATGGAAAATATATTCCGCGTAGTCAGGGTGCTGTTCCAACGGAACGGGCTTCTGGAATGCATCTGTCTATAAAAGAAATGATACACACACACAGGCACAAACTCATCATTGCTGTGGAAGACCAAGCACTAATACCAACAAAGGACTTTAAAAGTGGAGACAACTTTTCAGACAATACAATTCTAAAGGTTTCCACAAAGGATAGCTCCAAATTGGTCCACCTTCTAATTCTGCCTGGTTATTCATAATCAAGAGCCCAGTTGTGTTTTGATTTTGTTACCTGTTTAGTTTTCAGTACACACCCAAGTAACAGGCCCTGATAAGCTCAAAGCAAAAGCTTAATATATTTTTTTTTCATTGAAGCATAATTAATTATACATATTTTAGGGGTACAGCATTGACTACCATCACCTATGTACAGCATGTGATGATCCAATCAATATTATTAGCATATTCATTATTACAATCTTGTTTTTTTTTTTAAAGAAATAAAACCACAGTATTACCTAAAGCCCTGTTATATTCATTTAACTTAGAAAGCAAACTCTGAAGTTTCACAAAGGGTCACCGCTAGCCCACGTTGCCTTTGTGTAAATGAGAAAGGGGCAAACCCCACCCATAAGTCTCTTTAGATTCATCTGTAGGAAAAATGTCATAATATGCTGATTGTTTTTTAAAACAAGGTATTTTTCTGCCATTTTCCTGAAAACTATCATAATAAATATACAAACCACAATGGCTACGGAATGACTGGGACCCACAGGAGGAACAACACCGTGAGGAACACAACTTGCCAGCAGAATGAGGTGGTCCTGCTTTACATACAGATTTTCCTTAAAGGGCAAAGGCTGTACATCAAATCCCATTTCAGAACTGCAGTACTACCAAATTCTCGCCCTTTATGGAAATTTCTTTTTTTTTTTTTTTTTGTCCTTTTTGAGACCGGCGCACTGTGCTCAGCCGTTGAGCACTGTGAGCGCATCGGTCATCCCTATATAGGATCCAAACCCGCGGCAGGAGCGCTGCTGCACTCCCAGCGCCGCACTCTCCCGAGTGCACCACGGGCTTGGCCCTATGGAAATTTCACTGGTTGAGTTTTCCTTGAAGGCTCCATCGTCAGACCTTGGTTTTAAATAAACTGGGTTGAACTGAGCTCTCTCACTGAAATGGAATTTCCCTGACTCCTGTGGGAAGGAGCAATGAATGGGGTCTGAGGTTTCACTTCATAACCAATCAGAATTTTAAAACCCCTACCAACTTTCTACTGTATGTCATTTCCTGATTAAACTCCTTTGGGACACAAAGTACTCACTATAATTAACTGAATAAAATTGTACCTTATCTTTTTTTTTTTT